AAAATATATAAATTCATTCTACATGAAAATGTTGGATGCCTTCAATGAGCTGAAGTTGAATATAGTTTTTTTTTTTTGGTGTTTCAAAAATATTTTTTTAAAAAAATAAAATTTTTTATTTTTTATTTACTTTAATTAATATATTTTTAGTGTTTTTAAATTATCTTGATGTACTAATATTAAAAATAAATTTTAAAAAATAAAAAAATAATTAACATATATTAAAATATAAAATATTATTTTAAAAATAACCATAATTATATTGCCAAACAACCAAATGAATAACATATAAGTAGATCCAGCTCCTATTGTATCAAGTTTAAAACTGTGAAGTACACATCAAATTAAGCACATCAATAATTTTTATTATTCTTCATACAATCAAATTTTATCATGAATGAGTGAAAGAACTTGCATTTTTTTTAATTATGATTGTCATATAAATGTTTAAGATTTTAATTATACTTGTTGATTCAAAGTTTCAGGTATTTAAATCTTTGCCCTTTTTAATTAATTAAGAATTGTGTTAAAATCAATGTTAAGAATTATGCTGAAATAAAAAAATATGTAAATTCAATATGTTAGATTGTTTTTAATATATCATATAATTGATTCACTGATCAGCTGGTGGATACATGAATTGAGTCGCATTTCTTGAATTAATCTTCAAATCCAACTCGACAACTGTGAAAACGAGAGGTATTCTACTGGTCAAGAATAATGAACGATCCTTTTTACCGAAGAAGCAACAGGAGGATTATGATTAGTGGGCCCCTGCTTCATATGAGCTGGCCCTTAATCATGGCAGTGCCAATGGATTGGCACTGGCAGATGTGTATTTTACGCTTAAGTTTTGGCTATAATCTGCCAAATTTTAGTTGGTATGTTGGAGCACCGCCAGTGTAGTGGCCCCTGCTGCGCTAGCTGTCTCGCCGTGACAGGCGCTCTTTAGGGAGCCTGGAGACTAAATAATCCTTGCCAGTTCGCCGTTGAGTTTGAATAATAAATACAAAATTAGGCCTGGAGACATGAAAATTATGCAGAAAAAAACGATGATAACGAGTGAAATTTCCAACGAGTTCCAGCTACAAGTGTTGCCGTGAGCCTCTAACCAGTTCTACCAGTAAAAGGTATTCTGTTTTTGTTTTTTTTTTGGGTGGGTCCTAGCTCCTTGGGCTGTTGAGTATGAGGGATCATTAAACTGGGTTCACGTGTCTCATCCAGGCTGGTTATAATTTGGAAAGGAGATGGTGGATGACCTTTGCTTACAAACCAATCCTCCGTTAGATTTTCTTTCAATTTTCTCTTCTTTTTTTGGTATAAAGATAAAAGAAGATGTTCGTTTTCATAAGATCCCAAGAAACTCCTCTGCAGTATTATGATTACTAATAGCTTAATCAAGGGTTCTGTTTTTATTGACCTATCACCATCACCATCTCCATCGCCAAGATCCCTGTAGGTTTGCAGTTATCTTTCTCAACAAGCGTTTAATTATAGGCTTATAGTCCTTTTCGTTGTATCTGTCTTTTTTGTTTGGAGATTGATGGTCGGAGTCGGAGAATGCCACGGTAAAGCATGGACATGCATTGTCCTACTTTTTTTTTAAAAAAATTCCTAACTATATGCATAGGCTCGGCGATCCGATTAGTAATTTTTTGCTTGAAAGTGTCTTACTCAGGGGCGGGCAAGCAGGGCCCGGCCCCTTCAAAACATTTTAATTTTTTATTTATTTATTTATTTAAATAAATAAGTTTTTTAATAACATATATTATTATATTAATTTTGGCCTCCCTGTAAAATCTGCCTGGCTCCGCCCCTGGTCTTACTGACTTTTATTTTGAAAACACTATCTTACATGACTGATGAATTTAGATTCAATTGGTAAATTTTTATACATATTTTCTTAAAAAAAGACTATGAATTAAGAAAAAACACACAGTTATATTTTTTATAACGGGAATGTTGGGCTAGCACGCACCAACCCCAAACACAAGTTCATTGTGCCTCACAGCATGCCAGGTCCAGAAGCTTGGCTTGACGCTCTCTCAGGCCAATAGGGTGTGACATACATTTCTTGTGACGCTCTCTCAATACTTCTTGAATATAATCTAATAACATACTTTCACATATTTTATATAAATTTTGGATAAATTATTTCTTAACAAATAGATTTAATTAAATAAATTTATAATTCATTAATATTATTTGATGTATTAAAATCTCTCATGACCCACTATATTTCAATCTCTTAGCTAAATAAAATGAATAAAACATAAATCATGATATAAATTTAATTTATAAAGGTAAAATGATTCCCAAACTCTTTCATTTTAGAAGGATAGCATTTAGGGGTTATAAATACTCCCTCGACTATACAAGTAAATGATTTACAATATTTATATTCTTAATAATTTTAGTATACATGTTTTTCAAGTTTATTTATTTAAAATATTATTATACTCTCTAAAAAAATACTTAAGTTTTTTAGAGTCTTTAAATCTATAAGAAAAAAACTTTTTATAAGTATCAACTATCTTGACTTACCAGACATTAAATATAACTATCAATTATTTTTACTAGAGAAAATAGATCAAATTATTATAATAAAAAGATTAATTAATTATTTAATATATAATATTTTTATTTAAATTACGTAGATTTTCTAGAACATCGTTAATAACAAAATTTCTTTTAAACCTTTTATTATAGAAAAATAAAATCTTATGAATGGTTAAGACTTAATAGATGAAAAGTAATTATATATAACATGAATTTCATTGTACTTGCATATTCGACATCGAGACATTGAGGAACTGGTCAAACGATTAATAATTACACTGTTTTCCAGTTTTTAAAAGTTCAAAATCAGGTAAGATTGCTTAGATTGCGAGGAGTAAAGTTTTCACGACTCTTTAAATCTTGACATAACTGATTCATACGTGAAAATCAATCAAGAGACATAACATAGACGAAAAACAAAAAGAAATATAAAGAGAGAAAAAGAAATCCCCACGCAAAAAAGAGAGAGAAGATTCTTCCACTTATGCAGTGATGAGAGCATAAATTTAGGTGGTTGATTATTCTCAACGCAAAAAAAGCACCGACTGACTGGGCATTCCATAGAAACTGAAATTGATATACAGCCAGTACCTAGCCCTCCCAATCTATGTTAAACAATGTGACAATTAATGGCTTCCTCTTCAATCCTTTATCTTAGCATTGTCCACATGCATCACAGGGCCATTACAACGCCTGTCACGGATTTGCCTTCTCAACTCCCTCCATTATTCAATCCACAACAACACCCCCTTCTTTTTTAGAGTACCTTTCAGTTGTTAACATACACGTTTCCCCTCGCATTTTACACGACAATTATCGAACAAGATTACTCTCTGTAATCTTGATTTTCTTGGTCCGATCGAATTGAAACATTACTATGTATAACAGGTACGGTTCATGAGGACAAATCATACAAAAGGTAGGTCCAAAGTCCATGTAAACGAGAGTAAAGTAAAAGGGAACGTGGACTGTGGGGGGGCCAAGTTAGTTTAACGATCATTCCTGCAATGTGAATGATTGTAACTTGCTATCCTCCTCTTGTTGGCCCTCTAGTTTTCTTTTCCTTGAGGTTAAATTGACCTCCTTCCTACCTCTTAATTAATCCTAGCTAGGCTGACTTTATGATAACGTGGTTTCAACTGCAAGCCGGGAATGGTTTTACTAGGGCAAATAGTCAGACCATAACAACACTAATCATGCGTGGAGGGACTGCATTTTGGTTTGGCTTCATCACTATATTAAAGTTGTAACAGTATATTCCACTTTCGTCGTGGACAGGCCTTTTCCTTTTACGAGAAGAAAAGAAAAGAAAACCATACATTTATTAGAGAGAAATACCCTTTTTTTAGCTGTTGTATTTGTGGTTGAAAGTTAATTGGTGCCATGTGTTTTTATTTTGATCAATTTGGCTAAAATGCGACGTGATACATCCCAGACGACGGCATCAACGAGCCTTTCTAGTCAATTGGCTTAATTTGATCAATTCTTGAGAGCTGGTTAGCAGGCATGGTCTTGGATGGATGTTCTGTCAAAGAGAATGAGGCATTACCAGTTCAAGATAGCTAGCTGAGCTTGTCCCTGGGGAAAGATAAATTATATTCTCGGACAAAATAAAAAAAAAGCCACACAAATTGACTTCTCAAGGCAATTATTACGGGAAAAAGAGATTCTACTCTTTTTATCAGACAATGCTGTCCAAACAATAATTCAATACTTTTATTTTATATGCTTTTTTCCCTTCATGTCTAAGTAGGGTTAACGAATAATTATTACATAATGAAATTTCACGAGGGACCAGAAAATAAAATTAAAAAGAGTTAAAATATTAGTTGTTTTATTATTTAGATTAAAAATATAGATATTACCAAGAAAAGGACTGGAATAAAATTTTCTTTGCAGGGCCGGCCAGCCCCCCTCTCCGCCCCTGCTAGTATCATTATAAGGAAAAGAAAAGAAATACAAAAGAATATTGGGTAATTTTACACGGTATCTCTGTGCATGTCAATGTGTAAGTAGTTAATTTGACCGCGAGACTCTATCACCGTTGTTGTCTCTGTCTCTTGTCGTGAAATGTTAGATGTTGGAACATGTGCATCATGGAGTTTGCAGGAGGCACACCTTACCTTCGCCAAAACCCTCAACCACACCTCCGTCACCTAAAGCCCATGTCAGAGAATGAAATGAAAGCTAAAACCTAATTCTGAAACCCAGATCCACTACTTATTCCCAGGTCTACCATTGTATATATATTGGCCTTTTCTATTTCTCCTTTAGCCCAGCCCAACTCCTCCATCCCCATCCTCAAACTGCCCAAATTTCTGGTGGATGTCTGTCTCTGTCATATCACCACACCAGGACACTCTTGACCCAACAAAAATCGAACGATCTGTTTTTTCTATAGTGCTTGACCCAGGCAGGGGCATTCAAGTATTTAAAAAATCGTGAAAAAGTTAAAGAATAGCACGCCAGGATTAAGGCGGGATCAGACAAATTCTGTGTTCCTCACTCACACAAAACCCAAAAAACCCTTATCTCTCTTCGCATTCTCTCGAAACACCAAAATTTAAAAGGAAAAAAAAAAAACAAGCTACTTCAAAACCCTCTCCCTCTCTCAGAAACACAAAATTCTCGATTTTTTCCTTTTTCAAATGGCAATTTCTTCAGGGATTTTCTCTACTTTCTTATCCACCGAAACGGTGCCACTTCTCAAGTTTCCTTCTCCTACATCCACTCCTCCTCTCAGGATTCTGGCTGCGCCTCCCGCAAACCCGCGCATGGCGCGGAGTACTGTAGTTACTTGCGCCACGGCATCGACCGGAAACCGTGCTCCACGCGGCATAATGAAGCCGAGGCGAGTCTCACCTGAAATGGCGGACTTTGTTGGTGCTCCCGAGGTCTCTCGTACCCAGGTTCTCAAGATTATATGGGCCCATATCAAGGAGCACAATCTTCAGGTATAATTTTTGTCAGAAGTCGACATTTTGTTCTAAAATCTTGGGTTCCTGTCATTTCCTGTGCTTAATTTTTAGTTAAACGTTTGGATAAGGTTGTTTTGGGACGGTAAAATGTGGTTATTTTTATTCATGGGTTTTCATGCAGTTGATTATTTAATTGATTAGCTGGAGACAGTCATGTTTGTGGATAAGGTTGTGCTGGTGTCAGCGAAATGTTCCAGTTCTGTTGTTGTTGTTGTTGTTATTTTTTTACTTTTACGAGGTTTTTAAGTGTGGGTTATGCTGTTATTGTATTTTAGTTCTGAAAATGTAATATGTTTTATGCGTTGTTTCTTTTCTGGGTTTTGGATAATGTTATGAGGCTGCTGGATAATTGTGGGTTCTTGGGTATTGTTTGTTTGCTGCTCATGTAATTGAATGGAGTTATACTTGGATATGTTTGTTCGATGTAGTTTTTTATTCTTGCATGGCCTGATCATTATTGCTGTGAATTCGTTGATGTATGAACAAGGTGTCTCTCATGTTAGGGATAGATTTCATCACTAGAATTTTGGTTGAGGCATGATTTTATATAGAATTTGGGCTGAGACATGATTTTGTAGGTAGTTCAAGTTTGAGAAACAATTCAGAATAATTTCAAATTTGTAATACATGAATGTGGTATGCACTGCTTTGTTGATATGACCACATGCAGTATGTTTATATGAATGTGGCTTAATTAGAGGTACTGGATTTTATTAACCTGAAAAATGCGAGGCAGCGCTTACAAAATTGTGACTAACTGGCTGTTGGCTTGTCATTTCCTAGCAGCTATCGTTCTTCACTATTAGGGTTAGCTTCCAGCTGAAGAATTTGGTTGAAACAAAAAGCATGATTGGTGTTTGAGTAATGGATAGAATGTTCACTTAATTATCGTTTTACTTCACCCTTTAGAACATTTGCTAGTCCATCTGCTGGTGCGGTCACTTCCCTTTATTTGTTGCATGGTGTATTTACTAATTTGGTGCTAACTCTTTTCTTGAAATGCAGTATTATTGCTCCTCTAGTTCGTCATGTTTGCATGAATCTGGTGTTTGTTTTTCTAGCTGTTTCTGAGCCATTGCATAGAACATCCATGGTGTACGCATATATGGTTATCTCATTAATTTGGAGCTGACTGGACTTGCTGTGTGTTTTTAGGACCCTAGTAACAAGAAGAACATAATTTGTGACGAGAAGTTGAAGAAGATATTTGCTGGTAGAGACCAGGTTGGATTTCTTGAGATTGCTGGGTTGATTAGTCCTCATTTCCTCAAATGAAGTTCAAGATAATGGATCCAGTCTTCATGGTCATCTTTCCCGTGGCAGGGCTGTCTTTTTTGTTGATGATAATAGTCAAAATTATGCCTGGTGCTTTCGGCAGCTTGTGTTTTTGGTCTTAATTAGCAGTACTTACGTGCAGAACTAGCTTTGTTTAGAATTTTGCTTATGGATCCCTTAAATAGTACGATTTTCAAGATGATATTATAACTTTCTGCCAGTTTATGCTTCTGTTGATGAATCTCAAATTTTGATTGAATCTTGTATGCGGTTGTGGTTCTGGCAATATTTTCATATTGGGTGCAGGCTGCATAAAACATGCTCTTCGTATGATTTTAGATAGTTTTGATCTAACAGAAAAACTTATCTCAAATGATCATGGCAGCAGTCGTATTAAGCCGCCCCTTGCCTGCACTTGCCTACCTTAATTACGAACTGGAGTTGTTCAAATGATTTTTGGCAAGTGAGCGTCTCTGGAAAGGCCCCTGGAGTTGGACTCATAACGAGTTCTTGCACAGAACTCCCCCAGAATGGGAGTGCGTGAGGGCAAAAACTAGTAATAGCAGAAAAGTGAACTTTATTGAAGAATATTAGGTTGCAGAAACAAGAAAGAATGGAACGCCGTTCTAATCTAATCCTCGATCCTGGGTCTTCTAATGTTCTATGGAATCTTTGCGTTGTCATTCCTGCAACGGAAAACACAAATTAGATCAGCGAATTCCATATCACCACATGTACGGCTTTTGAACTCCGCAAGATTGGAGAGAGACTTTTAAACTCGAAATTCCCGTGGAGAGTTTGATATTATGGTAGCTTCAAATAATTTTTGTTTTTTATATGGATTCTATATATAATTATATTTTAAATATGAATTTTGTTTATATCAAAATAATATATTTTTATTTATTTTACATAAAAAAATTTATCAAATCAATATTAAACAAACTCATATTTTTTTAATTAATTTATTTTAATCCGCAACTATTCCTCTTTCAACTCCCTAGAAAATTTCAATCATAATGTTTAGTTCTTCGTCCATTTCTTCACTCCTACGAAGCAGAGAGTCACCTTAGCTGACATGGCAAGCTCTATCTGTTCGCCAGAGATTCTTGTCTGCTACCATGGCAGTCTCCATTACTCACTCACCACGTAGGATTGAAACCCTCCTCCCCTCTCAAATCTCTTCTTTCTTAAGTCAAAACACCACACAAACCCAACTAAAGAAACCACCCTCACTTTCTTAAGTCAACTTTTATAATCCTTAAACCCGCCCATAGCCCTCTCAAAGCCTCTCACTCTAAAAAATGACAGAGAAACTAGCTCTCCCTCTTCTCATCACAGACCCACCCCCAACAAAACTCTTACCGCCTCTCCAATCTCACCTCCACCAACAACAGAAAAAACTAACAACACCCACTTCACGACCACCACCACAACATGGCACCCCACCTACGCAGGGCTTCCTTTTCAAGCAAAACCCCAATCTTTCCAAACCCACCAACCCGCAAACCCAACCTGATCCATTTCCTATCCCAAGAAACCGAACCCGAATTGGCAAGGCCCGTGACCCTAACCGTGGCAAACCCTGGACCCACCGTCGTCTCTCCCTTCAAGGTCAGCGAGTTCTAGATTCTTTAAATGACCCTTCTTTCGAAACCAGTGAATTAGATAAAATCTTGAGTCTTTTATTTGATTATTATAGAGAAGAGTTCAGTTTAAGTAGTCGTGGTAAGGAGAGGTTAAGTAATGATGTTTTGGGTATGATTAAGGGTTTAGGGTTTTATAAAAAAAGTGACCTGGCTATGAGTGTGTTTGAGTGGTTTAAGAATAGGAATGATTGTGAATCTGTCTTGAGTAATTCAGCTGTGGCTGTGATTATTAATATGCTTGGTAAAGAAGGAAAAGTTTCGGTGGCAGCATCTTTGTTGAATAATTTGCATAAAGATGGGTTTGAACTTGATGTTTATGCGTATACATCTTTAATAACTGCTTGTGTTAGTAATGGGAGGTATAGGGAAGCTGTGATGGTTTTTAAGAAGATGGAGGAAGAAGGGTGCAAACCAACTTTGATTACTTATAATGTGATTCTGAATGTGTATGGAAAAATGGGTATGCCATGGAACAAGATTATAGGTCTGTTTGAGGGAATGAAGAATGCTGGGATTCTGCCGGATGAGTATACATATAATACGCTGATAACTTGTTGTAGACGAGGATCTTTGTATAAAGAAGCTGCTGCGGTTTTTGAGGATATGAAATCGATGGGGTTTGTGCCTGATAAGGTCACTTATAATACTTTATTGGATGTTTATGGGAAGTCTAGGCAGATTAAGGAGGCGATTGAGGTATTAAGAGAAATGGAGGTCAATGGATGTTCACCAAGCATTGTGACATATAATTCGTTGATATCTGCTTATGCAAGGGATGGTATGTTGGAAGAAGCAATGGAGCTTAAAAACCAGATGGTTGAAAGAGGGATTAAACTGGATGTTTTTACTTACACTGCAATGTTGTCAGGATTTGTGAGGACTGGTAAGGATGAGTCTGCAATGAGGGTTTTTGAGGAAATCAGAACTGCAGGTTGCAAACCTAATATTTGTACTTTCAATGCCTTGATTAAGATGCATGGTAACAGGGGAAAGTTTGCAGAAATGATGAAGGTTTTTGAGGAGATCAAAATTTGCTGCTGTGTACCAGATATTGTTACCTGGAATACCCTTCTAGCAGTGTTTGGGCAAAATGGGATGGACTCAGAAGTGTCTGGAGTTTTCAAGGAGATGAAGAGGGTTGGCTTTGTACCAGAGAGGGATACCTACAACACCCTAATCAGTGCGTACAGTCGGTGCGGTTCATTTGACCAAGCCATGGCTATGTACAAGAGAATGCTGGAAGCTGGGATCACACCTGATCTTTCCACCTATAATGCTGTTTTGGCAGCTTTAGCTCGAGGAGGGCTATGGGAACAGTCAGAGAAAATACTTGCTGAAATGCAAGATGGCATGTGCAAGCCCAATGAACTGACATACTGTTCTTTGCTTCATGCTTATGCCAATGGCAAGGAGATTGGACGGATGCTTGCTCTTGCGGAGGAGATATGCTCTGGTGTAATTGAACCTCATGTTGTGCTCTTGAAGACCCTTGTTTTAGTTAATAGTAAATGTGACCTCCTATTAGAAGCTGAGCGTGCATTCCTGGAGTTGAAGAGAAAAGGCTTTTCACCTGACTTGAGTACTCTGAATGCCATGATTGCTATTTACGGCAGGAGGCAGATGGTTACGAAAACAAATGAGATCTTGAACTTCATGAAAGAGAGTGGGTTCACTCCTAGCATGGCAACTTACAATAGTTTGATGTACATGCACAGCCAATCAGAGAACTTTGAGAGGTCAGAAGAAGTTTTAAAAGAAATCCTTGCAAAGGGAATAAAACCAGATATAATTTCATACAACACTGTTATTTTTGCATATTGTCGAAATGGGCGGATGAAAGAGGCTTCACATATATTCTCAGAAATGAGAGAATCTGGGCTTATTCCAGATGTAATCACATATAATACTTTTGTTGCAAGTTACGCAGCTGATTCAATGTTTGAGGAGGCTATTGATGTTGTTTGCTACATGATCAAGCATGGATGTAAACCGAACCAGAATACATACAACTCAATCATTGATGGATACTGTAAACTTAATCTCCGGGATGATGCAAACAAGTTCATAAGCAGCCTTCATGAGCTTGATCCACACATTTCCAGGGAGGAAGAGTGCAGGTTATTAGAACGTTTAACCAAATGGTCATAGGCAATCCCTTTCTTATCTGTCTCATGTTTTGATTAGGCATGAAGATGTGGTTAATATGGATGATCCAGCAAAAGCTTCCTAATGTTTCCTGGAGGCTGAAGAGATGCAAGCACCCAGGAACACATCTATTTGGAGGGCGGTGCTTGGATCCAGACAAGACATGAAAAGAAGGGGAAAGGGGAGTTATTGACTTCAAGGTATGAGTACGTCTATCAAATGTGAATCATTTTGTACCATTAGCATTTGGTGGTTATGAGAATCAAAATTTTGAAAATTCTCTCTGCAACATGTCATCATCGTGATTAATGATTTGATTCTCTTAATGTACAAGAAGAAGGCATTTTTATTATATTTACTTGAGAAGAAAATTGTTTCTCTGTAACTATGGATGGGATGGATATCCTCATTTTGTTCTTATGGGCCATGTAGATTATAAGTATTGTTTTGTTAGTTGAACTTAGTTTTGAATCTCTTGCCAAAGCATTTCCTGGCTTTACCCTATCTTACCTCCTTTTCCTGAGTATGAGGAGTTATTTATTTTGACAAAATTTTACTGTCATTGGAAAGGTGGCCTTTAATTTTCATTGCTAAGATGTGATTTTTCATGTAATGTTGTTAGGTTCTTGAGCTTCGAACTATGTGGTAAAGAAAGAAGGAAGAATGAATGGTTTGTCCAGGAGAGTTGCTAATTGGCCATTTCGTAGCTGATGATACGTGATCTTACATAAAGTTCTCGCTTCTGGCGATATATACTGAAAGTTGCTAAAGGTGTGTACAATGTATATATTGTAGGTGTAACAAAAAGTAAAAAGCTATATATAAATGCCGAGTTAATGAATAGCTATGCCCTAAAGATACGACAATGTGGCTTTTGAACTCCATTTGTTAGTTTTGTGAAGCTCAGTTATACTCGAAACCAGAAACATGAAAGCCAACAGTATTTCAGCGGTCCACTGGACTGTTGTATCTTCAAGAATGATTATGAAAAACAGAAACGTTGTTAATGGGGAGAAACTTATATAGGAGTAATTGTCTATCGTCATCCTTGTATTCCCGGTTGAACTTCTTGTGTGTTTGGCTCGTTTCGTTGCGGTAGTTTTTATGATTACAGTTTGAAAAAGTAGCTTCAAGCATGACCAAGGTTTTAAAAGAGAGTTTATAGTGAAATTCATGCCAAACTATGATATATATATCGATTAATTAAACATTTTTAAAATTGTGATGAGGACAAAACATAGTTTCAATCAGCACATTAGCAATCAATCCTTCACACATTTGTCACCATCCTGTAATTTATTTGATGTATTATCAATGACAAGTCCTTAAAATTCATCCTTACTAGGAACAACATTGTAGGTTTCATGTCTACTTCAAACAACTTGCTTAATGGCTGGCTTAAAATATTTGCCAAAACCATATTTCATTTCTTACTGTGATTTTTTCTGCATAAAGCGAAGGATTTTGAACTTCAAACTTCCAAGCTGGCCTGGGTCCTATTATATTTTTCCTTGGTTATTCACTAGAGAAAAGTAATTTGCTCATAGAAACAGAGTCTGTCTTCCTTGGTGACATGATTTAGCATTAGACCTCAGAGTTAAAAGGATTGCACGCTAAAAATTCCAAGTTAAAACTGGTCATTACAATAGTCGGATGACAGCTCCCTAGGTCTGATACTAACTTGTCATTCAGAGTTGGATAGAAATAGCATAAAATACATTATTTTGAATCAAGTAGTGAATTTCACTCATTTTGCTAAAAAGTTTTAACACAAATGCTAATCCATCCACAGTTCTGCTTCGGGCTGAGCACTTCTAGTTCGATCCGGTTTTGAACAAAAATAAATAATTAAATTAAATTTTATTTAATTTTTTGAATAAAAAACAAACTAAAACCCGGTTCAGATTGATTAATTTTAATTCTATTTGATTTGGTTTTTTCTCTTTCAAACCAGTTGAAACCGGTAATTAGTGACCAGAAAAACACCAATAGAGGCTAAGTTAGTCAATGACATTCTAAACATCTCTTGTAAGTTTGGTAAATTTTCAAGAAGCTATAATCCATGTATCTCATCATCAAAGTTAATACCCATTGCAGTCAACTCATTAATAATTTCTTGAAACTTGTTAAAGTGATGTTTCATCTTGATATCTCAATGATATCATCTGCTTTATTGCATATAACTTTAGGTTTACATAGAAGGGAGAGAAGTAAAGGAGAGTAAAAGGAATCAAAGCATAGACTAAAAACTAGAGAGTAAAGGAAGAAAAATCAGAACAAAGACTACAGTGAGAATAAATGAAGAGATATGTAGAGAAGGGAGTAAGGTGAGAATAAAGGGAGGGAAAGTACGCAGAGAAGGGGGGCGGTTGATGGCTGATTATGACTCTTGAGTTAGAAAACATTGTATTTATAGTTGATTTTTTTAAGTGTTGGCTGATTAAATCAGTTCGGTTTAGTTTAATTAGTTTTAGATTTTAAAAATTAAAACTGAATTAAATCGAAATTTTTTTTATGATTTTTAATTAGTTAATTCAGTTTTTTTAATTTAATTTTTTCAGTTATCTTTTTTATTTTCTCATATTAATTGATTTATCAGTTTTTTTCTCACCTCTGGTTCCACTGCCTGCTCATATGAATGGCGTCCTCCGCAACTCAAATTAGCTCCTATCTTCAGAGACGCAATAATCTGATGTGGCTGTCGATTTCATAGCCTTGTTATATCAAGTATGAGTCCAGACAAGCCATAATGGTATTAGTTCCATCTCTATGGTTTAGTTATTATAAGAACCCTAGGGATCACGTTAGGCTGACAATGATGATTTACGCTCCAAACACCAGAAAACAGTTGTCAGAACACCCTTTTTTCTACGGTTTACCTTTCAATGTGACAATGAACTAATAAAGCGTGCAAGGTAAACAAAATGCCTAATTACCAAAACCCCAATAACAAGGATAGAAGCACCATGATATAAACAAGGTGTTTCAATAAATAAACTGAATTTTTAGGTCCTTTTACACATTTCCACGACGTAATTGCTCATCTTTGGCTCTCTAATCTCCCTCTTCTTGCAAGCACTTCTCTCCATCCTTCTCTCTGATTTGCAAATTCAGAAAGCACAATCACTATGAGTTGGTGGTGGGCAGGAGCCATAGGTGCTGCAAAGACTTTTTTTTAATAAAAAAACTCAATTTATTCCTCTTCATTTTCCATTTCCTGTTATGTAATTATAGGTGAGCTAATGATTTTTATTTGATCAAACAAAACGGAACAAACCTTAAGAGGATGGTGATGCACCACCAAAGTACCAAAGCGTGGCCCTCATAATAGGTGCCACAGGCATTGTAAGCAGCAGCTTGGCCGGGATCCTCCCTCTTGCAGGCACCCCGGGTGGGCCCTGGAAAGTTTAAGGAGTTGCACGCCGTCCACGGCCAATCTGGCAATCCGATCACCAAATTAAATACCTCCAAATCCGATGTGATGTCTTGAACGATGCATAAACCCATTGAAAAGCTCTCAAAACTCACAGATGTAACCCACATCTTTTACGTTGCCTGGGCTAGCAAGTCTACAGAAGCTGAAAACTGCATTTTTAACAACACCATTTTACATAACGTGCTTAAAGCTGTAATCCCTAACACTCCAAACTTGCAGCACATTCGCTTGCAAACAGGACGCGAGCATGATTTGGGTTCTTTTGAGTCTTGTTTAAGGTTCAGCTCTTATGACCCTCCATTACATGAGGATCTTCCAAGGCTAAATTCATTGAGTTTTTATCAAAGGATGTTTTGTTTAATAAGGTTCAGAGGAAGGGGGGGTTTGAAATAGTCTGTTCATAGGCGTGGAGCTATATTTGGGTTTTCGCCGGCTTGTTTGTTGAATATGGCGAGGACTCTGAGTGCTTACGCCACGATAGGCAAGTATGAGGGGCTTGCATTGATGTTTCCAGTAGCACTAGTTCATTTAGAAGCTCTAGTTTCCTGAAACAGATCCTAGTTGGTGGTTATTTTTAGCTGCTGTCGCAACTTTAATCCTTCTTCTTGTTGTCTTAATGGACATACTGATGAGCGAGCAGTGTTACTTGGCACTTTAGCCATCAAAATACAGGCAAAGCAAGAGCAGCATGAGACAAGGGAGATGCAGTTCAATGGGAAAAGGGATTTAGAGCCTTTGCTAAGCATTTTCAGAAATCCTCAAAGGATGTTCATCCCAACATTTTGTAAGCCTTCCAGGTTACACCACTTTTTGAGAACGTGATGAGAAGACGACATTTTCATAATGTTTTGCAAGCTTGTAATCCAGTTATTTTTCTATTGTGGGGTTGCAGGAAACAACGACCAAGTAGATTCTTCTCGGTCAGCAATTTTGTACCCATTTACCAGGTTAGCGTCTAGACCTGGTTCATTCCATTCCCAACAAACCCCATCGTTTACTTCTCACGCCACAGGAAGGCTGAAATGTTGAAATAGCTCTTTGGGTTACATGATTGGAGAACATGTAACATTGAACTACCGAGACAACAGATCACTAACACAATTCAAATCAACTGGCATTAGCATGCATTTGGGACAATTTCAAATGTGGCGTTTTTACACATCTGCTGAACATGTAACATTGAACTGTTCATGGATAACATCAGCGATTCAAATCGTCTCTGATTAGTGATGCTTTTGAGACAATTTTCAAAGCGGGGCTAGACATTATTTGCTTAACATGTAAAATTGATCCGTTCATTAATAGCATTGATGATTCACTGTGCATTGCATTTTTCATGAACATCTAATCTAATGAAAATGAAAGAAAAAGAAACTCAACATGACTAAAGATGTGAAGATCTATTGTATGCAATAGAACAACAACTACGAAGTATAAAACAACATTGGTGGGGCATAAACACCGTGCAAGTTCAATGGTTGTCCTTTTTAGGATTGCACCTGATAGCATGCAACATTTAAGATATTTTAAGCATCATTTCTAGCCAAGGTGCAAATATTACCAAAAGATCAAACCGTGGAAACAAGTTAGATTCTTGAGTTTACAATGACAACACAAGAATGACAAAAATTTAATGTAATCCATGAATGCCAACGGGGAATGGCACTTTCTATAAATCAAGATCAAAATGAAATGAAATGTGGTGCCGGAGTCTCCTAAATCTAAATTATACTAAAGCCTGTTTGGTCTTGACTGAAATGTACATAATCGTTTGCAGCACCAGAGCCAGAGTTCCGAGTATGGCCATCGTTGCATCAGTAAAGGATCAAAGCTAATATTGCATCGCTTGTTGAGAAGTAGACCTGATTATGGAATTCTTAAAGATTTTGAGGTACAGTAAGTTGCAAAGCTCAACCGAATTAGTGATGTATTATTTCATCTCCTGGAAGTAGTTGTAGAATTTCATTGCTGGTAGTTGCTTCCAAAGTCAGAAGCCTACGAAATTAATAAAACTTTTGCTACAATTCTCTTGGACATTACCTCTTCTTTTTTATAGTCAGATCCCTTCCATCTCCACATGTTATAGTTTGATGAGTAAGAGAGCCAGTTGCTCATCGGACACTTTAACATCAATGAATGCTCCTAATGCTGCTGCAAGTCTTGCAGCTAATTGATGCTTACACTGAAATGGATTCAAGAAATGAAAGAGTTGATCATAAAACATTATAGAAAAGTGGTTTCAACAAACTAAAATGATAAAAAAAAAAGAAATCTTACACAAAGTTGTTCTCCTCTGTTGACAATGTCATAAAAAAATGAATAACAGGCACAATAGTGTTCAGGAAAACAGAAATACTCCTCCTTCCTCCGTGATTCTCCCACCACCTAACAACATCAGCAAACAAGAAATTATTTTAACAAATGAGTTCTTAAATGATCAAATCTTAATCTTTACTTCTATCTTTTTAAACGAAACATATTTAACAATTTGTTCACAGTGTTAACTACCAAGTTTCTTCAGCATAATCCAATTTCGCCTCAAACCCATTTGCCAAATCAGTTCTTAAATGATTGATCCTAAAATTTTACAGCTATTCTCAAAT